GCCCCAAAACCCCCAGGAAAATGCCCCAAAACCCCAGGGAAATGCCCCAAAACCCCGGGAAAATGCCACAAAACCCCCAGGGAAATGCCCCAAACCAGCGATGCCTGTCTCAAAACGAGACACAAATGCCCCAAATACAGGAAAGATTCCCCAAAATCTGGGAAAGTTTCCCCATAATTCAGGGTTGGGACCCCAAATTCTGAGCTGAGAGACCCCAGAGTAAAGAGCTGCCCCTCCAAGCCCCCAGTTTAGGAGCATTTTGGGTCATTTTAGGTCATTTTTAACCACAGATTCTGCCAGGTCTGAGCTACCCCCCCATCCCCCCAAACCCCAATTTTGGGGGCATTTTTGGGTAATTTTGGGGAATTTTAAACCCCAAACCCCAAGCAGGGCATTTTAACCCTCCAAACTCCAATTTTGGGGTCATTTTGGAGTAACTTTGGAGGCAACTTTGGGGTAATTTGGGGTAACTTTTCACCCCAAACCGTCCAGGTCAGGGCTGGTCCCCCAAACCCCCAATTTTTGGGTGATTTGGGGTAATTTTGGGCCATTTTGAACCCCAAGCAGGGGCAGGGTCCTCACACTCCAGGAGCCTCCTGATCCTAATTCCTCCTAATGACCCCGACCCCATTAATCCCCCACAGGCCTCATTAATTAATTAATTAACCCACAGCCCCGCTGGGCTTTTTTTCTGGTTTTGCCCAAAAGCAAAAAAAATCCCCCAAAAAAACCCAAAAAATCCCTGAACCCGATCTCCCTTCAAACCTTGGGACCCTCGGCCCAGCCCCCATCAAAAATCTCTTTTAGGGTCGGGGTTTTTTTGGGATTTTGGGTGTTTTTGGTGGTTTTTTAAAAATTTTTCTTTTCCCTGGATTTATTTATTTTTTGGGATTTTTCCGGTTCTGGGACACAGGGGCAGCTTTGTCCCCGTGGCTTTTGGGGCCCTGGCTCGGTGCCACCCCAAATAGGGTTTTTTTGGGATGGGGGGTTGGGAGAATTCACCATCAAAGGATCCAAAATCCCGGGATTTTTTTTTTTGCCTCTTCTTCGCTCCAGACAGGGGAAAAAAGGAAACTTAGGGTTTGGAGTTGCATGAAAATCCTGAATTTCAGGTATTTAGGGGGCAAAAATTCCCAAGTTTTGGTGGAGATCCTAAAAAATTAAAGGGTGAAGTGACTCCCCTGTAACGCAGAGTGACCCTGAGGCAAAAAATCTGGGAATTCCAGGGGAAAAATCAGCTTTGGGAATGGGAAAAATCCCTGAAGAGACACCAAAAAATCTCAAAGTATCCTTCAAAACCATTCATTCCATTCCTGACATTTCACCCCAAATTCCCAGCATTTTGCCCCAAATTCCTAGCATTTCACCCCAAAGCACCCTAAAAATAAAAACCACACAAAAAAACCCCAAAATATTTTAACAATATCTAAAAATACACAAAAATATTTCAAAATGCACCCAAAAATTTAAAAAATTTTAAAACCCCAAAAATACAAAAAAAAACCCACAAAAAATATCCCCAAAAATACAAATATACACAAAAATATTAAAAATTTCCAAACTATATTTGAAAAATAATATAAAAACTAACAATATAAAAATATTCAATAAATAAAAAAGCCCCCAGAAAAAATAAAAGTAATACACAAAAATGCCCTAAAAATTTACAGAAAATAACACCAAAAAAATCTGAAAAATACCAAAAAACTGGGGGAAAAAAAACATTAAAAATAAAAAATAAATAAAAATAAACCAAAATAAATCAAAATAGCCCCCAAAAAAATCCCCGGTGGGGCCCTGAGCAACCCCCCCCCCAACTCCCTGAAAGGATCCCTTTGTACCTTTCCCAAAAAATCGCCTTTTCATCCCAAAAAAGGGGGAGGAGGGAAAGGAGGAGGAGGAGGAAGAGGCCGCGTGAGGGGGGGAAGGCTTTGACCTCATCCCACAAAAATTCCCGGATTTTTCCCCCATTTCGGGCCCCTTCCCACCTTTCCAGGGGGAAAAGGGACAAAGGGGCTCTGTGTGACAAAACCCCCAAAAATGGGATGAAAAAGGAAATTTTGGGGATTTTCCCACCGGGAAAAGGAGGGGAAGGGAAGACCCTAAATGGAAAAAAGGAATTTGGGATTTTTGGGTTTTTTAAGGTTTAAAAGCAAATTTTGTGTCCCTACAATTAATTTTTTAGGGGGTAAATTTGCACCAAAATCGGGTTTTCTGCGAGGCTTGGGGTCTCCAAAATTGCTTTTTTTTCGCATGAATCCGCTGCAAAATTGGAGTTTTGGGGGGTTTTGTATCCCCTAAAAAAATCAGTTAGAGGCTCAAAACATGATATCATTTTTATATTATTAAATATTAATTTTTAATAGGAAATGTTATGGGATAATTAAAAATATGGAGGGAAATGGCTGCAAAATTAGGAGGAAAAAGTAAAAACTGGGGGTTTTAGGGGGCACAAAGATAATTTTTCTGCTCCCAAAAGGATCTTAGGAAATATCTGGGGCCAGATCTGAGGTTATTGCAAGGTGCCAGAGGGAAAAAAATGGAACTGGGGAGTTTTTGTGCTGAAAAAAAGCCTTTTTAGAAGGGAAAAATAAATTCCTGGCTCACCCACCCCGTGGAGGAATTCCCTCTCTGGGTTTGGGGCTTTCATGGGATTGAGTGGTTTGGGAAAGTGGGAAAAATCATGGGGGAAATGGGGGGGAAAGTGGGAGGAAATTTCGGGGGAAATGGGGCAGAAATTGAGCAGAAATTGGCCAGAAATGGGGTGAAAATGGGGGGAAATGAGGCAGAAATGGGGGGAAATTGGGGTGAAAATGGGGTGGGAAAGGAGCAGAAATGAGGGGAAATGGGGGAAAATGGGATTAAAATATGGCAAAATGGGGTAAAAATGGGGCAGAAATGAGGTTTATATGAGGTGAAAATGCGGAAAATTTTGAGTTAAAATGGGACCAAAATGGAGTAAAATGGGGCTAAAATGGGGCAGAAATGGAGGAAAATTTGACCCAAAATGAGACAAAAATAGGTCAAAATTGGAATAAAAATGGGGGAAATTAGGGGTAAAAATGGGGGGAAATGGGATAAAAATGAGGGGGAAATAGTAACAACTGAATTCCCCCTCCGCTCCCAGAGCAATTTTGAGCCTAAACTGGGGGGATTTGGGGTGGGGAAAATTCAGTCCCAAATCCATCGGGACGCTGGCGGGTGGTGGCACCGGGGTGGGGACAACCAAGAGCCCGTGGGGACAATGGGCGGTGCCACCCCCCGGGCCGGTTCCATCCCAAACCACGCCCCCTGCTCTGCCCCCCCATCCCGGTGTCCCCTGCTGTCCCCTGCTGTCCCCAGGCTCGGGAGAGGCCATCAGGGACCGGGGCCAAGGGACAAAACCGGGGGGGCCCGGCCTTACCTCTGTCCCCGCCACCAGTGCCACCAGCGCCTGTCAGCTCTGTCACCAGTGTCAGCGGTGCCACCGGTGCCACCAGTGCCACCGGTGCCATCAGTGCCACCAGTGCCACCCGTGCCACCCGCGCGTCCTCGCTCCGAGGGCAGCGGGACGCGATGTCCCCACCCCACGGCGGGGCTGTCCCCACCCCGCTTTTGGGGGAGTTTTTGGGGGGAGGGGGGGGGGGTACGGGGGGATTTGAGCCCTCCCCGTCCCTTGTCCCGGCCCTGTCACCTTGGGGACAGCGGCGCAGCCGCCCCCGAAACTGGGGAGGGGTCGGGCAGCGCCCCCCCGGCCCTTTGATTCATTCCCAAATTTTCTGTTCCGTCGGAAAGCGGCGGCCGCAGCCAAGGCCTGGCCCCGCTCCCGGCCACGCCGAGCGCGCTTCCACCTGCTGGGGCTGGGAACACCAAACCCCCAAATCGCCCCCAAAGCCCCACAAAACTCCTCCCAAGCCCCTCAAAATTCCGCCCCAAAATCCCTCCAACGTCCCCCAAAACTCCCTCAAACCCCCCTTAAATTCCCCTTAAAACCCCTCAAATCCTCCCCAGAATCCCCTCAAATCCCCCCTAAATCCCACCCTGGCTCCCAAACTTTGGGGGAGTTTTATGGGGAATCTGGGGGAGCTGCGCTGGGTTTGGGGTCGGGGGGGTTTCCCCGTGTCCCCCGCGCTGATCCCACAATTGCTGCCGGGAATTCCGCCGGGAATGGGGACAGCGACAGGGGGAGGGGTCGCGCTGGGCCTGAGGGGGCCCCGGAGGGGGGCGGGGATTCGGGGACACCGCGAGGGAGGCGGGGGAGGACGGAGCTGGGGTGAGGGGGGGTCCCATCCCGGGGCGGGGTCGGGGGGATCCCGATTTTCCCAGGACCCGGGAATGGGATAGGGATGGAGGAAAATTTGGGATGGGATGGGATGGGATGGGATGGGATGGGATGGATGGGATGGGCTGCACCGCCTTACCCCCCGCATCCCCCAAACCCTGCACCCCCAATCCCCGCATCCCCCAAAGCCCGCACCCCAAACCCGCATCCCTCAAAGCCCGCACCCCAATCCCCGCATCCCCCTGAGCCCCGGTCCCTCCGCCCGCTCTGGCCCCGGGGGTGGCCGGGGGAGGGCCCGGGGGGCCCGAGGAGGGCTCGGGAGGGCCGGCCCTGCTCGGGGGCCGGGGGAGGGTCCGGAGCCACCGGGGGAAGGTCCGGGGGGCCCGGCGGGGCCGGCCCGGCTCGGGTTACAGCTCCGGGGGGCGGCGGGGCCGGGACTTAAACGGGGCCGCGGGGCCGAGCGGGCACTGCCGGCCCCGGGCGCGGATCGGCCGCAGCCGCCTCGCCATGCCCGGACACCGCCCGGCCCCCGGCGGCCGCCGCTCGCCCCGCTCGGAGCCCGCAGGCACCGGAGCGGCCCCCGGAGCCGCCCCCCGGCCCGGGCTCCTGCTCCTCCTCCTCCTCTGCCTCGCCGCCGCCGCCGCCGCGCAGGACCGAGACCTCCGTGAGTGCGGGGATGGGGACGGAGAGGGGACAGACAGGGGACACGGAGGGGACAGAGCGGGGATACAGAGGGGACATGGAGGGGACAGAGCGGGAATACAGAGGGGTGAGGGATGGGAAAGTTTTGGGGCATCGCCGGGGGGGGGGTGAGGGGGACACGTTGAGGGAAAGTTGGAGAAGGGGAGGGGGGACAGCGCGGGGACAGCGAGATGACAGAGGGAACAATGGGGACAGAGGGGACGTGGAGAGCAAAGAGGATGGGGGACAGCAGGGGACATCGGGGAACACTAGGGGACGTTTTGGGATGGACAGAGAAAGTTTCAGAGTGGTGGGGGGAACGGCTCGGAGGCTGGGGACAGCACGGGGACATCGGGGGACAGCGTGAGACGGACGGGGACAGTTTCAGTGTGACGGGGAGGGGCAGAGCGGAGTGTGGGGACACCGGAGGACTGCGTGGGGACACTGCGTGGGGACACGAGACAAAGGGGGAAAGTTTCGAGGCAGTCCTGGGGACAGCAACGCGAGGAGAGGAGGACACCGGGGGACACCGGGGGACAGCGGGGAAAGTGTCAGGGAAATGTGGAACAACCTTGGTGGCGCGGAGGGGCAGTGGGGGACAGGAAGGGAGAGCACCAGGGGAGTTGGGGACACCGGGGGACAGCGGGAAATGGACTGGGACAGGAAGGGACAGCGTGGGGGACACCCGGGGGACAGTGTGGGGACAAGGTGGGGCAGGGAGCGACAGCGTGGGACACTGGAGGATGGCACAAGGCGTGTGGGGGACACGGTGGGGACACTGGGGGACAGTTTGGGATCCAGGTGTGTGGCGTGGACGGAGTTCAGGGACAGCCCGGGACAGGAAGGGGACAGGTTGGGATGGCCGGAGGGGGCACAGGTGGGACGTGGGGACAGCAGGTGACAGTGAGGAGGCAGAGGGACAGCCGGGGGTGTCGGCGGCGAGCTGGAGCAGGGGCAGGCTGGGTACAGGCAGGTCCGGCTGGGGTCACAGGGTCCGGCTGGGGCCAGCCCTGGGCTGTGTCCCGGGGACATCCCTGGGGTCACTGGGGACATTCCAGGGACCCTAGGGACACCTGGGAACCCCGGTGTGCGGCCTGGGGACCCCGAGGCACCTCCTGGGGACCCTGGGGGACCCCCGGGACCGTCCAGGAGCACCCGGGTCCCTCCGGGGACACCGACGCCTCTTGTCCCCGAGCCCGTGGGGACACTGGCGCCACCGGAGCTGCGGGGACACTCGGGGGGGCCGGGGGAGGGGCGGGGGGGTCGCTACAGAGCCCAGTCCCCTTCGGGGGCTCAGAGGGGGGCTGGCAGTGCCACCACCCCCCCGCCGCTGGCTGTACCATCGCTCCCCCCTCACTGCGGGGTGCCGGACCCCTCCGGCCTCCCCTTCCTCCTCCTCCTCCTCCTCGTGCTGGACGAGGCTGGCAGTGCCACCCCCTGCTCCGCGTGTCCCCGCGCTGTCCCCACGCTGTCCGCGCAGCCGAGGCTGGCAGCTGCCTGCAGGATGGGGCTGGCAGTGCCGCCACCTCCCTCCTGGCTGTCCCCGCGCTGTCCCCGCGCTGTCCCCCCTCACCGGGGGCTGCGGGGCCCCTTTGGCCTCCCTCTCCTCCTCCTCCCCCCGTGCTCACAGCGAGCCTGGCAGTGCCACCACCTCCCCCACGAGTGTCCCCGCGCTGTCCCCGCGCTGTCCCCACGCTGTCCCCGCGCTGTCCCCGCAGCCGAGGCTGGCAGCTGCCTGCAGGACGGGCACCGCTACAGCGACAAGGACGTGTGGAAGCCGGAGCCGTGCCGGATCTGCGTGTGCGACACGGGGACGGTGCTGTGCGACGAGATCATGTGCGAGGAGCTGCGGGACTGCCCCAGCCCCGAGATCCCCTTCGGAGAGTGCTGCCCCATTTGCCCCAGCGAGCAGCCCAGCGGTTGTAATTTATTTATTTCCCTTCATTAGCGAGTTAATAAATAAATTACCCGGCCATGGATGGCGCCATCCATGCGGCAGCGCGGGGAAAAGGCAACTTCACCCCAAAAAAAAAAAAAAAAAAAAAACAACCGGGGGAAAAATCCGCCCCAGGGGGAAAAATCATCGAGGTTTTTAGCCCTGGTTTAAAATTTGGAGGTTTTGGGGGGTTTTAGACAGAAAAAATGGGGAAAAGTGTGGTGGGAGGGGATTTTGCACCCTCGGCAGAAGGGCTTTGATGAAAATCCCCCGAAATTGTGGGAGTGCACCCCAAAATGAATGGAAACCCCCCAGAAAGCCCCAGTCAGGGTTCCCAGTTGTGGCATTTCACCCCAAAATGAAGGAAATCCCTAAACCCGCTTCCCCCAAACCTCCAAAACCCCCAAAGTTGCCTTTTTTTAACCCTTCCCTGCCCCAGCTGGGGGGGATTAAAGGGTTGAGCACCCCCAAAAAGCTTCCAAACCCCCAGGAAAAGCCCCCTCGACCCCCTCGCTGCAGGCCCCGCTTTGGGGGAGCCCCCAGTGCCCCCCAGTTTGGCCCAACAGCCCGACCAGGACGGAGCCACCTCGTGTTGCCCCCACCCCAAATTCGTGTCTCCCCCCAATTAACTTATCTCTTTTTTCTTTTTTTTTCCTTTTTTTTTTTTTTTTTTTGTTTTGTTTTGTTTTGTTTTGTTTTTGTTTTTGTTTTGGTTTGGTTTTGGGTTTTTTTTGGGGTTTCTTGCAGGGAAGCCTGGCCCCAAGGTGAGTGAATTTGGGGGGCAATTGTTCTGAATTCTGGGGTGGTTTTGGGCGTCCTTTGGTGGGAATTTTGGGGCAGTTTTGGGGTCTCTGAGTTCATCCTTTGCTTTGCCTTGAGGGGCTTTTGGGGTGGTTTTGTGCTCATCCCTGGGGCTCAGAGAGAGGAATTTTGGGGCAGTTTTGTGTCCTTGGGGGGCAGAGAGGGAAATTTTGGGGCAGTTTTTTGTCCTTGGGGGGCAGAGAGGGGAATTTTGGGGCAGTTTTGGGTCCTTGGGGGGCAGAGAGGGGAATTTTGGGGCAGTTTTGGGGTCTCACCCTTTGCTTCTCTTGCAGGGACAGAAAGGTGAACCCGGTGACATCAAAGATGTGAGTGGGGGGGAGACCCCAAAAAGGGGCTGAGGTGGGAGGGGAGGGCTTGGCAGACCCCAAAAAGGGACTGGGACCCCCTCAGCCCTAATGTCCCCCCCTTTTGTGTCCCCACAGGTCGTAGGACCCCGAGGACCCCCGGGCCCGCAGGTGGGAGCAGCTCCGGGCCGGGAAATCTTTGGAATTTTTGGGGGAGGGGGGTTTGGGAGAGCGGGGGAGGGGCGTGAGGGGGGGAGGGGACTCCTGACCCCCCCTCCCCCATGCTGTTCCTCCCCCCGCAGGGCCCCGCAGGTGAGCAGGGACAGCGAGGGGACCGCGGCGAGAAGGGCGAGAAGGTGAGAGGGACCCCCAGGACCCCTAAAATCCCTCTGGGAACCCCCCCGGTACCCAAAATCCACGGCGGGCCTCCCAAAATCCTCTGTGAAAACCTGAAATCCTCTTTGACAAACCCAAAAAAACCCAGAAACCAACTGAGAACACCCCAAAAATCCCTTTTTTTTTTCTTTTTTTTTTTTTTTTTTTTTTTTTTTTTTTGTGCATATGACAATTAACATTGAATTTAGGCATTTGGTGAACATTCTCCAGGACATTTGACTCAATCTCAAGTTATAAAAGGCCCACTCTCCTATTAGGAGTCAGTTTCTTACTGGATAGATGATTGTTTCATTGTGGTACTCAAAGTCATTCTGAAAATATATAAAATTAATTTTTGGAGCATTCAGAGGGGGAATTGAGGGGGATTTGGAGGGGATTTGGGGGGGGGGGAGGAGATTGGGGGGGTTGAGGAGACTGAGGGAAGTTTTGAGGGGATTTGGGGGAGTTGAGGGAATTTGGGTGGGTTTTGAGTGCAGCAGCAGGGATTTTGATGGGAATTGGGGGGGTTTTCTGGGAACCGGGTTTTTTGGGGGTCTCCGGGGTGCTGAGCCCCCTTTCCATGGCAGAACTTCGCGGCTCAGATGGCTGGGGGCTTCGACGAGAAGGCTGGAGGGGCTCAGATGGGCGTCATGCAGGGACCCATGGTAGTGTCACCCCAAAAACCCCCAAAAACCCCCTCACTTCCCCCCAGATTTCCATGAAACCCCTCTCCGGATCCCCTCAATTCACCCCAAATCTGCCTAACCCCCCTCCCCATCCCCCAAACCCCACCCCCGTGCAGCCTGACCCCACTGCAGGACCCCCAGTCTTGGGTGGTCTTTGGTGGCTTCGGGGATGTCCCCAGCCGGTGTCCCCCCCCCCCCCCACGACTTCGGGGATTTCCCCCGCCGGTGGCCCCCCCCCCCCAAGTGACATCGCTGTGTTCCCCCAGGGCCCCATGGGACCCCGCGGCCCCCCCGGCCCCTCCGGCTCCCCCGTAAGTATCGCCCCCCTCCCCAAATTTCGGGCCGGCCGGTGCCACCCCCGCTGATGTCCCTTGTCCCCGCAGGGTCCCCAAGGATTCCAAGGCAACCCCGGTGAGCCCGGCGAGCCAGGCGCTGCTGTGAGTGTCCCCAAATGTCCCCAAACCCCCCAAAGCCGGGCACTGCCAGCCCCCAGCGCCGCTCACCGCCGCCTCTTTGTCCTCTTCAGGGTCCGATGGGTCCCCGGGGACCTCCGGGACCTCCTGGCAAACCCGGCGACGATGTGAGTGACACTGGTGACATTCAGCCGCCGCAGCCGGGCTGAGAAGAGACAAAAAGTGACATTTTTGTGTCCCCATCCCCTCAAAAATCCCATTTTCCCTGCAGGGCGAGACCGGCAAACCCGGGAAATCCGGCGAGCGCGGCCCCCCCGGCCCCCAGGTGAGCGCGGCACCGCCACAAAGCCACGGCTGTCCCCTCCCTGTCCCCTCCCTGTCCCCAACTGTCCCTTCTCCACTGCCCGCAGGGCGCTCGTGGCTTCCCCGGGACCCCCGGCCTGCCTGGAGTCAAAGGCCACCGGGTGAGTGCGTGTCCCCTCCTTGTCCCCGCGTCCCCCGTGTCCCCCGGAGCGGCTCTGTCATTGTCACACCCCCGCCGTGTCGCTGTCCCCAGGGCTACCCCGGCCTGGACGGCGCCAAGGGAGAGGCGGGAGCACCTGGAGCCAAGGTGAGAGGGGGTGGCAGTCCCAGGGGTTGGGGACAGTGAGAGGGGGGAGAGGGGGTGGCAGTCCCTGGGGTTGGGGACAGTGAGAAGGGGTGGCGGTCCCAGGGGTTGGGGACAATGAGAAGGGGTGGCAGTCCCAGGGGCTGGGGACAGCTCCCGGGGTGCAGTGGCTGTCCCCGTGCTGGGCTGGCTGTCCCCTGGCTCTGGTGGCCGTCCCTGTGACAGCAGGGGATGTCCCCGCCCCGCGCTCACCTGTGTCCCTCCCCGCAGGGCGAGTCCGGCTCCCCGGGCGAGAACGGCTCCCCCGGCCCCATGGTGAGTGCGCGCTGCGAGAGGGAAACTGAGGCACGGCCGGGTGGGCTCGGCGAGGGCCAGCACCCGCCGGGCCTCACCTGTCACCGTCTGTCCCCACAGGGTCCCCGCGGGCTGCCCGGAGAGCGAGGACGCCCCGGCCCCTCGGGCGCTGCGGTGAGTGCGGTGTCACCTGCGATGTCACCTGCGGCGCCGGTGGCACCTGGGGGTGGCAGGGGGGAGCCTGTCCCCCGCCCTGGGGACCCCCCGTCACCCCCGGCACCGTCTCCCCACAGGGCGCTCGTGGCAACGATGGCCTCCCGGGTCCGGCCGGACCCCCCGTAAGTCCAGCGGGGGTTGGCGCGTCCCCCGCCCTCATGTCACCCCCCCGAGGGGACAGCGGGGTCCCTCAAGGCCCCCCAGAGTCCGGGGGGGCCCTCACGCTCCTCTCGCCCCCAGGGTCCCGTCGGGCCCGCAGGAGCCCCCGGCTTCCCCGGCGCCCCCGGCTCCAAGGTGAGGGGACAGGGATGGTCCCGGTGGGGACAGGAGGGTCCCGATGTCACCCCTGACTCTCTTGGCCACCTCCCCCCCAGGGTGAAGCGGGTCCCACCGGAGCGCGAGGACCCGAGGGTGCCCAGGGACCCCGCGGGGAATCCGGGACCCCCGGCTCGCCCGGCCCCGCCGGCGCCCCCGTAAGTCCCCGTGTCCCCTCGCCCTGGTGGCTTTGTCCCCCCGCGTTGTCCCCTGAGCTGGGAGCGGCGGGGACAGGGCCGGATCCGGGGAAACTGAGGCACGGAGCTCAGCGAGGTCTGCTTGTAGGGGAACCCAGGGACCGACGGCATCCCCGGAGCGAAGGGATCGGCGGTGAGTGGGGACGGGGACAGGGACGGGGACAGGGACAGGGATGGCTTGTCCCAGTGAGCCCCTGGCTGTGGGGACAGGGACTGGCCCGGGGTGAGGAGCAGGTGCCGAGGGCTGCGCTGGGATTTTGGGGCATTTGGGTCCGCTGGGGGTCGTGGGGCACTCAGGGATGGGGGACACTGGGGACAGAGAGAGGTGTGGGGACACTGGGGGGATGCTGGGGGGTCTTGGGGACACTGGGGCTGCAGGGACAGTGAGATTTGAGCTGCTGGGGGACAGGAACTGCCGGCAGAGGGGGGACAGTGGGGACACTGGTGATGCTGGGGGGTATTGGGGGACACTGGTGATGCTGGGGACACTGAGGGCCGCTGCGGGGTCCCTGACATCGCCGGTGTCCGCAGGGCGCTCCAGGCATCGCCGGCGCTCCAGGATTCCCCGGCCCCCGCGGCCCACCCGGACCCCAGGGAGCCACCGGCCCGCTGGGCCCCAAGGGACAGACGGTGAGAGACCCCCGATGTCCCCCCGGGCACCCGCCACGCCCAGTGACCGCGCCCCGGACACTGACCACACCCGTTGGCCACGCCCACCCACCAGCGGCTGGCCACGCCCCTTCATACTCAGGCCACGCCCCCTTCACACCTTCCCCCTTTGGGGGTCACCCCTGGGTCACTCCCGGGTCACTCGGCCCTGACCCCTAAGGGAACACTGTGGGTGGGATGGGATGGGATGGGATGGGATGGGATGGGGACAAGGACCTGGAGACCAGGCCAGGGTTGCAAAAATCATAGCTGTGGGGACGCTGTGACACTGTGCCCCCTTCACACCTTCCCCCTTTGGGGGTCACCCCTGGGTCACTCCTGGGTCACTCCCGGGTCACTCGGCCCTGACCCCTAAGGGAACACTGTGGGTGGGATGGGATGGGATGGGATGGGATGGGATGGGGACAAGGACCTGGAGACCAGGCCAGGGTTGGGGTGGGGACAGCTGTGGGGACGCTGTGACACTGTCCCCCCTCCTCAGGGCGAGCCCGGCATCGCGGGATTCAAAGGCGAGCAGGGACCCAAGGGAGAGACGGTGAGTGGGGCTGGGGGGCACCAGAGCCCCTGGCCGGGGGTCCAGCCCTGGCCCTCACTGTCCCTGGAGTGCCCAGCCCCGGCCCCTCGTTGCTCAGCCCAGTGTCCATCCCACCCAGTGTCCACCCCAGTGTCCACCCCAGCCCAGTGTCCATCCCACCCAGTGTCCATCCCAGTGTCCGTCCCAGTGTCCATCCCACCCAGTGTCCACCCCAGTGTCCATCCCAGTGTCCGTCCCAGTGTCCATCCCACCCAGTGTCCATCCCAGTGTCCACCCCAGTGTCCACCCCACCCCAGTATCCCTAGTGTCCGTCCCAGTGTCCACCCCAGTGTCCGTCCCAGTGTCCATCCCAGTGTCCGTCCCAGTGTCCATCCCAGTGTCCGTCCCAGTGTCCATCCCAGTGTCCGTCCCAGTGTCCATCCCAGTGTCCGTCCCAGTGTCCATCCCAGTGTCCGTCCCAGTGTCCATCCCAGTGTCCGTCCCAGTGTCCATCCCAGTGTCCGTCCCAGTGTCCATCCCAGTGTCCGTCCCAGTGTCCATCCCAGTGTCCGTCCCAGTGTCCATCCCAGTGTCCGTCCCAGTGTCCATCCCAGTGTCCGTCCCAGTGTCCATCCCAGTGTCCGTCCCAGTGTCCATCCCAGTGTCCGTCCCAGTGTCCATCCCAGTGTCCGTCCCAGTGTCCATCCCAGTGTCCGTCCCAGTGTCCATCCCAGTGTCCGTCCCAGTGTCCATCCCAGTGTCCGTCCCAGTGTCCATCCCAGTGTCCGTCCCAGTGTCCATCCCACCCAGTGTCCATCCCAGTGTCCACCCCAGTGTCCACCCCACCCCAGTGTCCACCCCAGTGTCCATCTCACCCCCGTGTCCATCCCCGGGCCCCCTCTCCCCTCGGGCACCTCCCGGGCCCTAACGAGCCGTTCCCCTAACGAGGCCCCTTGGGGCAGCGTCCCCCCCGCACAGGGGGACAGTGGCCGGGGGACAGTGGGACAATGGCCGCAGTGTTCCATGTCCCCCCCTTGGGGACATTCCCCCCTCGCCTCATTAACCACCATCAATGGGGCCCCGCCGAGCCCGGCGCCAGCGGGGACAGAGGGGACAGAGGGGACAGAGCGGGACTCGCAGTTACGGGTTTGTCCCCGGGGGGGTCGGGGAGGGGATGAAGGCTCCTTGTGACCCCTTTTCCTCCTCGCCCTCAGGGCCCCGCAGGACCCCAGGGTGCCCCCGGACCGGCCGGGGAGGAAGGGAAGAGAGGAGCCCGCGGAGAACCCGGAGCTGCCGGACCTTTGGGGCCACCTGGAGAGAGGGTCTGTGCTGGCCTGGACCCCAAACACCGCCCTGATCCCAAACAACTGACCCCGAACACAATAAACGACCCTGACCCCAAAAAACCGACCCTGACCCCAAAAAACCGACCCTGGCCCCAAAAAACTGACCCTGACCCCAAAGAACCGACCCCAATCCCAAAAATCCTTCCCTCGACCCTAAACCCCTCCCCTGACCCCACAAATCCTCATCTTCCTCCACAGGGAGCTCCCGGCAACCGCGGATTCCCCGGGCAGGACGGGCTGGCCGGCCCCAAGGTGGGACTCTGGGGACACCGGGGGTGTCCTGGGGGTGACCCCAAATCCCCCAAACTGACCCCAAATCCCTCAAACTGACCTCAAATCCCCTGCAGGGGGCCCCGGGCGAGCGCGGCCCCGCCGGCCTGGCCGGCCCCAAAGGAGCCACCGGCGACCCCGGACGCCCCGGAGAGCCCGGCCTGCCTGGAGCCAGGGTGAGGGACAGCAGCGGCCCCAAAAACGCGGACAGGGGGGCACCTCTGGGCTCTGGGGGAGGCATGGGGGGTGTTGGGGTTTGTTAAAGCACTCTTGGAGTCAGTCAGCTGGTTTTGAGGGTGGTTAGGTGGTTTTGGGGTCACTAACGTGATTTTAAGATTGGTAAAGGTGGTTTTGGGGGTGGTCAAGGTGCTTTTGGGGTCAATGAGGAGATTTTGAGGGTGGTTTACAGAGATTTTGGGGGTTGAAAAGGTGCTTCTGGGTTGATAAGGTGCTCTTAGGATTGCTCAAGGTGCTTTTGGGGTTGTTTAAGGAGCTTTTGGGGTCACTAAGGTACTTTTGGGGTTAGCCAAGATGCCCTTTGGCATTAAGACCTTTTCTGGTCTCTTGGCTCTCTTTGGTGCTAATTGAGAAGCTTTGAGGTTAATTAAGATGCTCTCTGCTAATTCAGATGCTCTTTGGGATTCCCAAGGTGCATATGTTGTTCTTTGCTCTTTGTGGTGCCCTTTGGGGTCACCCCACGGCCATGGGGTCGTGCCCCCCACACCACAAACCCTTTTTGTCCCCACAGGGTCTCACAGGTCGCCCCGGGGACGCTGGGCCCCAAGGCAAAGTCGGCCCCACAGTGAGTGACACCCCATTAGGGGCCTGGGGTTTGGGGTTGGTTTGGGGTTTGGGGTTGGGGTGTTTTGGGGTTTGGAGTTGGAGGTTGGGGGTGGTTTGGGGTCGGGGGTGGTTTTGGGTTTGGGTTTGGGGTGGTTTGGGGTTGAGGGTGGTTTGGGGTTTGGGGTTTGAGCTTGGGGGTGGTTTGGGGTCAGACTGGTTTGGAGTTTGGATTTGGGGTGGGCTCCTGTCCCCACTGACCCCGCTGCCCCCACAGGGTGCCCCTGGCGAGGACGGACGTCCCGGACCCCCCGGCCCCCAGGGGGCTCGGGGCCAGCCTGGCGTGATGGGGTTCCCTGGTCCCAAAGGTGCCAATGTGAGTAAGGGCCCTTTTTCCTCTAAAAATACCTGGGAATTCTCCCTGGGGCTGGAACCCCAAATCCTCCATCCTTTTTTAGGGTGAGCCTGGAAAAGCTGGTGAAAAAGGACTTCCTGGAGCACCGGGGCTGAGGGTGAGCTTTTCTGTCACACAAACCCCAAAAATTCACCTTTTGGTGCCACTCCACCCTGAAAGCCCCCAAAAGGGGAAACTGAGGCTCAGGAAAGGGGGGAAATAGGATTTATGGGATTTGGGGCTCAATAGGGTTTTCCATTTCCTCAGGGACTTCCTGGCAAGGACGGAGAGACCGGAGCCGCCGGACCCCCAGGACCTGCTGTGAGTGCAACGGGACGAGCTCAGGACTGGAGCTAAAAACCCCAAATTTGGGCTAAAGCCCCTCTGGATCTGCTGGAGGATCCCAAAACCCACAAATCCCCAGCCCCTGTGGTGCTGGGGTTTGTGGGATCCCCAAAATCTTGGGGTGGGGAAAGTGTGAAATCCCAGAGGTTTTTGGGGTCCTTGAGCAGCGTCCATCCCACAGGGCCCGGCAGGGGAGAGGGGAGAGCAAGGAGCCCCCGGCCCCTCCGGCTTCCAGGTGAGCACACGGCTTTGGGGTTGGGGGTTGGGGGTTTGGGGTGATGCCACCCCAACCCCCAGGGTCTCGCTGTCACTGTTCTCACATGGCTCCTGCCCCCCCCCAGGGACTGCCAGGGCCACCAGGTCCCCCCGGTGAGAGCGGCAAGCCCGGAGATCAGGTGAGACCCCCCCCAGTCCCCCCCAGATGGGATTGGGATCCCCCAAATCCCTCAGGTGTGACCCCAAACCCGTTTGTCCCCTTCCCACAGGGCGTTCCTGGAGAAGCCGGAGCCCCCGGGCTTGTGGGTCCCAGGGTAAGTGTCACCTGCCACCTGGGGGGGGCCACAGAGTGTCCCCTGTGGGGGGCTTTGAAGGGTCCCAGTGTCACCTGTCCTCACAGCTCGGGGACGTGTTCATCCCATGGGGACTTTGGGGGTCCCAGGGCCCCCAGATCTGTGCTGGTTCCGTCCCCATCCCAGTCCTTCGAGGGCAGCGTGGGACGGTGCCCTGCCCACCCTGCCGGTGCCACCCTTTTGGGTGTCCCCGTGTCCCGGCTGAGCTGTCCCCGCTGTCCACAGGGCGAGCGCGGCTTCCCCGGCGAGCGCGGCTCTCCCGGCGCCCAGGGCCTGCAGGGCCCCCGCGGCCTCCCCGGCACCCCCGGCACCGACGGACCCAAGGTGGGTGACACGCGGGGACAGCGCCGGTGCCACCGCGGGGGGTGACACCCCAATCCATGATGTCCCTTTGCTGCTTTAGGGTGCCACCGGCCCCGCCGGCCCTAACGGCGCCCAGGGACCCCCGGGGCTGCAGGGGATGCCCGGGGAGAGAGGAGCCGCTGGCATCGCCGGTCCCAAGGGGGACAGGGTGAGTGACGGTGACATGGGGGTCACGGGGTGCCACCAGTGCCACCAGGGCTCAGCTGGGCTCATGCTGGCCCTGTCCCACCCTGCAGGGAGACGTTGGAGAGAAGGGACCCGAGGGAGCGCCCGGAAAGGACGGAGCTCGAGTGAGTGGGATGGGGACAGGGCAGGAGGGGGCCAGTCAAGGACACTGCTGGTGGCCAGCCAGGGATGCCCTTGGTGGCCAGCCTGGGACACTCCTGGTGGCCAGCCAGGGATGCCCTTGGTGGCCAGCCTGGGACACTCCTGGTGGCTATCCAGGGATGCCCCCGGTGGCCTCACTGTCCCCTCTGTCCCCACAGGGTCTGACGGGTCCCATCGGCCCCCCTGGCCCCGCTGTCCGGGTCTGACCCCCTCTCGACTCTGTCCCCAGGGAGCCACCGGATTCCCCGGAGCCGCCGGACGTGTTGGACCCCCCGGCCCCAATGTGAGTTGGGGGCAACTGGGATCGCTGGGGGCAAACTGGGATCACTGGGGTCACTGGGGTCACTGGGGGGAACTGGGACCCCAACGGCGAGAAGGTGAGACCGGGGTGACCTCGCCAGTGCTCCCACGGGGACAGATCCCACCCGATCCTGAGGTGGATCCCACCCAGGCCCTGGGGACAGATTCCACCTGGTCCCTGGGGACAGATCCCACCCCATCCCGGGGCAGACCCCACGGGACCCCCGGGGCGGCCCCGCGCTGCCCCACCCGGACAGACCCATCCATCCCCCACAACTCTCCCTTCCTTTCCAGGGCGAGTCCGGCCCCCCCGGCCCGTCCGGAGCCGCCGGTGCCCGCGGTGCCCCCGTAAGTGCCTCCTGTCCCCCCTCTGGTGCTGGCAGTGCCGCATTTGCCCCATTCCCTTGATTTTCACCCCGTTTCCCCCACAGGGAGAGCGCGGAGAGCCCGGAGCCCCCGGCCCTGCCGGATTCGCCGGACCCCCGGTGAGTTCTGTCCCCAGTCCCTCCCAGTGTCCCCAGTGCCGCTGACCACTGACGGTGGCTCTTTCCCAGGGCGCCGATGGCCAGCCCGGAGCCAAGGGCGAGCAGGGGGAGCCCGGCCAGAAGGGTGACGCCGGAGCCCCCGGGCCTCAGGGTCCTTCCGGGGCTCCTGGACCACAGGTGGGTCCAGCCGAGACCCCCAAAATTGGGGCTGAGCCCTTTCGGGGGTCCCTCATCCTGGGAATTCCAGGAATCTCCAGGTCCTGACTGCCCTGATCGGTTTTCTGCCTCTTCCCAGGGTCCCACAGGTGTCACCGGTCCCAAAGGAGCCCGGGGTGCCCAGGGACCCCCGGTGAGTGGGGGGGAGGGGATGGGGCTGGGATCACTGGGGGAACTGGTGTCACTGAGAGCAGCCAGGATCGCTTGGGAAGATCTGGGATCGCTCAGGACAGTTGGGATCACTGGGGAAAAACCGGGATCATGTGGGAACAGCTGATTTTGGGACAGCCACCATCTCTCAGGAAGCTCTGGGATCATTCTGGCCATTCAGATCAGCCAGGATGGCTGACCCCCAGCTTCGGGGGTCGGGCAGCTCCCCATGATGTCCCCAAACCTAAGCCACCTGCGGGTGCCACCACCCACCCCTTCCACGGGACATTCCCAGTGCTCCCCAGTCCATGAGCAGCCAGGACTGGGATCAGGAACGGATCGGGAATGGGATCAGGCACGGCTCAGGGATGGATCAGGAATATGGAAACCCTTCCTGAGCTCCCTCTAACCCCGACCTCTCTCTCCTGCAGGGTAACCCTGGCCCACCCGGACCCCCCGGCTCCGCGGGCAAGGACGGCCCCAAGGGCGCCCGGGGCGACGCGGGACCCCCGGGCCGAGCGGGGGACCCGGGGCTGCAGGGCCCCGCCGGCCCCCCCGGAGAGAAGGGCGAGCCCGGCGAGGACGGCCCAGCGGTATTTGGGATTTGGGGACACCACGCCCGGACCCCTCGCCAGCCCCCGAGTGGCGCTGACCCCCTTTGTGTCCCCGCAGGGTCCGGACGGTCCCCCCGGTCCCCAGGGGCTGGCAGGACAGCGCGGCATCGTGGGGCTGCCGGGGCAGCGCGGCGAGCGCGGCTTCCCAGGGCTGCCCGGACCCTCGGTGAGCAAAACCCTAAGAAACACCAAAAAAAACCCCCAAACCCAAAAAAGTCCCAAAGTCTGGGAAGAAACGGGAGCTCATCAGAGGCAATTTTGTGGCGCGGGAGGATTTCGGGAGGGTGGGAGTGGTGGAAGCTGCTCATCCCCATCCTGGTGCTTTTGGGATCGCAGCTCTTTCCATGCCAAAAAAATGTCCCAAAATCTCCCAAGGCTTTTCCCCACTGACACGGCCATGCACCAGACCAGTTTGACACATTTTCCATACAAATTTTTGCCTTTTTCCCACCGGGACTTTGTGCCCCCCCAGCTCTGGGGAAACTTTGTGGCCGAAGAGGGTTTGAATTCCCTCCCTCTCTCCTGATTCCCTGCTGCTTTCCTGCCCTCGATCCACCCAGACTTACTCATGGCTGGGGGTTTCCCGTTTTTTTTAGGGAGAGCCTGGAAAACAGGGAGCACCTGGATCTGCCGGCGACCGGGGACCCCCCGGGCCCGTGGGACCCCCCGGGCTGACGGGGCCAGCTGGAGAGCCTGGCAGGGAGGTAGGAAATTTAGGAATGTCTGGAATATCCAGGGTGGATCCCTGGCTGATCCTGCCAGACACAGCCTTAAGGTTGATCCCGGAAAATCCCGGCACGTTTTCGCACATTTTCCAGGATTTTGCCTGGAAAATGGAGTTTTCCCCCCATCCCAAAGGCAAAAGCTGAATTCCTTCTCTTTTCCCAGGGAAGTCCCGGCTCTGATGGACCCCCGGGCAGGGATGGGGCAGCAGGAGTGAAGGTGAGCTCACCCCGGATTTCTCAAGCACCAGAATTCCCAGGAATTCCCGTAATGCCTGTGCTCGCCCCCATCCAGAGCCGGAATTCCTGACCCCATTCCCTGTTCCCAGGGTGATCGTGGCGAGACCGGCCCCGTGGGTGCTCCCGGTGCTCCCGGCGCTCCCGGCGCTCCGGGCCCCGTGGGACCCACTGGAAAACAGGGAGACAGGGGAGAGACGGTGAGTGGGACATGCCGGGATGGGGGGAGACAGGAATTACTGGGAATCACCCCAAATCCGGGGCATGGAGCTGTCTGGGATCATCTGGGAACAGCACGAGGAGCAGCTCCAAGTGACTTCCTGAGGATTCCTGGGAGCCTGGTTTGGGATCTGCCTGGGAGCTGCAGGAGCTGGAACTGGGAATGAGCTGAGGACCCCAGGAGATAAAACTGGGAATATCTGCAGTGCGCTGGGCAGCTGGGAACACTCAATCCCACACCTCAAATTCCAAATCCCATTCCTGCTGTTTCTGACTCCCCTCCTTTCTCCCGCAGGGTGCTCAGGGTCCCATGGGTCCCTCCGGCCCCGCCGGCGCCCGGGGAATGCCGGTGAGTGAGTCCCACCCGGAATTGTGGAATTCCGGGGATCCCAGTGTGGGATCGCAGTCTGGCACCCTGGTTTGGGGTCAGCCCACTCCTGACGCGTGGTGTCCCCCTTGCAGGGTCCCCAGGGGCCGCGCGGTGACAAAGGCGAGGCGGGCGAGGCTGGAGAGCGCGGCCTGAAGGGGCACCGGGGCTTCACCGGGCTCCAGGGGCTGCCCGGGCCCCCCGTAAGTGCTGGGATTGGGGACCAGGGCCCCCCATAGGTCCCAAATCCCACACCCCAAACCCTACACCCCAAACCTCAAATCCCACACCCCAAATCCCATATCCCACACCCCACACCTCAAACCCCACATCCTACATCCCAAATCCCACATCCTACATCCCAAATCCCACACCCCAAATCTCCCGAGGGATTCCAAATCCTCCATCCTCCCATCCTTCCCAGGGTCCTTCTGGAGACCAGGGTGCTGCCGGGCCCGCGGGTCCCTCCGGGCCCAGGGTAAGTCCTGGAATTTTGGGGAAAAAAGGGGAAAAGGAGGCGTCCCTGGACAGGTGCCACGCCTGGGGGTGGCAGCCACATCCCTGCTGTGCCCTGAGCCCTTTTTGGGGTTTTTCAGGGTCCCCCTGGCCCCGTGGGCCCTTCAGGCAAGGACGGCTCCAATGGAATGCCCGGGCCCATCGGCCCCCCTGGACCCCGCGGGAGGAGTGGCGAGCCCGGCCCGGCGGTGAGCGGGGACAGCGGGGAGAGGGGATCCGGGAGGGATCCAGGAGGGGAGAGGGGATCCGGGAGGGATCCAGGAGGGGAGAGGGGATCCGGGAGGGATCCAGGAGGGGAGAGGGGATCCAGCCGGGGAGAGGGGATCCAGCCGGGGAGAGGGGATCGAGCAGGGGAGGGATGCTGTGAGGGAGGGATGCTGTGGGGCACAGAGGGATTCAGCAGGCAGTGGGATCCAAGCCCCGGCCGGTCACCCCATAACCTCTCCTCCTTCCTGCAGGGCCCCCCCGGCAACCCCGGCCCACCCGGCCCCCCCGGGCCCCCCGGCACCGGCATCGACATGTCGGCGTTCGCGGGGCTGGGGCAGCCCGAGAAGGGCCCCGACCCCGGGCGCTACATGCGGGCAGACGAGGCGGCGCCGGGGCTGCGGCCGCACGACGCCGAGGTGGACGCCACCCTCAAGGCCCTCAACAACCAGATCGAGAGCATCCGCAGCCCCGAGGGCTCCCGCAAGAACCCAGCCAGGACCTGCCGAGACATCAAACTCTGCCACCCCGACTGGAAGAGCGGTGAGAGAGAGGCTCCGGCCCTGTGTCCATCTGTGTCCGTCCCTGTGTCCGTCCCTGTCCGTCCCTGTGTCCAGCCCTGCATCCATCCCTGCCTCCATCCCCGTGTCCCCTCCACGCCTGGACACCAAGGACTGCCCCCTCGCTGACCCCACCACCGGTCACTCACCCTGTGCCCTCCATCCACAGGCGATTACTGGATCGCCCCCAACCAGGGCTGCACCCTGGATGCCATCAAGGTCTTCTGCAACATGGCCACGGGGGAGACGTGCGTGTACCCCAGCCCCGGCAGCATCCCCAGGAAGAACTGGTGGAGCAGCAAGGCCAAGGAGAAGAAGCACGTCTGGTTCGCCGAGACCATCAACGGCGGCTTCCACGTGGGTGTCCGGGATGGGCACGGAGAACGAACGGGGAGGAGGGGTGGGCGTGGAGTTCCACAGGAAAGCTGGGGCTGATGTCCTTCCTGGGGGTGAAGTTTTTGGTGGTTCTATCAGATATTGGGTGATTTGAGGATTATATGGAGATCCTGGAGCTGATGTCCATCCTGGGCGGGGGGAATTGGTGGCTGTTGGATCAGAAATGGTTAATTTAGGGGATTTTACTGAAAGTTTGATGTCCCTCCTCGGGGTGAAAGAGGTAGTGTTTGGATCAGAACTGGTTGATCCAGAGGACTTCATGGAAATCCTGGAGCAGTGTCCTTCTTTAGGGTGAAATTGATGAGGTTTGGATCAGATATTGGTGGATTTAGGAATTTCATGGAAAACTTGGAGCGATGTCCTTCCTTGAGGTGAAATTGATGGGTTTTGTACCAGAACCAGTTGATTTAGAGACTTTCATGAAAATCTTGGCATCAGGCCATGACAGCTACACCCCTCTGGGAAAGCAGACCCTGGAAATTCTCCTGAAATCCCCGCAAAAAAAGCCCAAAATCCCCCAAAAAATCCGTCTGAAAGCCTCCCTCCTTCCCTGCAGTTCAGCTACGGCGCTGAGGAGCTGGCGCCCAACACGGCCAACATCCAGATGACCTTCCTGAGGCTGCTGTCCACCGAGGGCTCCCAGAATGTCACCTACCACTGCCGCAACAGCGTGGCCTACCTGGACGAGGAGTCGGGCAGCCTGAGGAAGGCTCTGCTCATCCAGGGCTCCAACGACGTGGAGATCCGCGCCGAGGGCAACAGCAGGTTCACCTACAGCGTGCTGGAGGACGGCTGCACGGTGCGTGCCGGGCAGGGAGGGCGGAAATCGGGGCAGGATCCGTAAATCCTGGGCTTCACCAGGTTGGGAGGAAGCTGGGAGCTCAGCGACCTGTGAGGTGACAGCGTCTCGTCACCAAGAGCCACCAGCCCGTGAGGTGACAGCAGCTTGTCACCGCGGCCAGGATTTGGGTAACGCCTCCAGCTGGCCGTGGTGCTCCAGGGATGGGGACTCCAAACCCCATTTCCCTCAGGAACACTCTGGGAAATGTGGCCTTTCTGGGTTTAACAATGAAATGGGGCTCAAACTGAGATTGGGAAGGTTCTAGAAGATTAAATAACCCCATTTTCCCAACGCTAATGATAAATTTGGGCCCAACCTGAGATTGGGAAGGTTCTGAAGGATTAAATAACCCCATTTTCCCAATGCTAATGATAAATTTGGGCCCAAGCTGAGATTGGGAAGGTTCTAGATGATTAAATAACCCCATTTTCCCAATGCTAATGATAAATTTGGGCTCAAACTGAGATTGGGAAGGTTCTGAAGGATTAAACAACCCCATTTTCCCAATGCTAATGATAAATTTGGGCCCAAACTGAGAGCTGGAAAGTTCTGGAGGATTAAATAACCCCATTTTTACCCGTTTTTTCCCTAGAAACACACCAAGAAGTGGGGCCCCTCTGTGCCTGATGACAAATTTGGATTCAAACTGGGATTTGAAGGGTTTGGCGGGGACGTAACAGATGAAATAACCCCATTTTTGCCCGTTTTTCCCTCAGAAACACACCGGGAAGTGGGGCAGGACTGTCATCGAGTACCGCTCGCAGAAGACCTCGCGCCTGCCCATCGTGGACATTGCACCTATGGACATTGGGGGACCCGAGCAGGAGTTTGGGGTCGACCTCGGCCCCGTCTGCTTCTTGTAAAAAAAAAAGGATTTTTTTGGTGTGGTTGTTTGTTTTTGGTTGTCGTGGTTTTTGTTTGTTGGTTTGGTTTTTGTTTTGTTTTGTTTTTTTTTAAAAAGCCCAGCCCGATTCCTTTAAAAAAGAGAAAAAAAAAAAAACCACAAAAAACGGGATCCATCCCAAAAAGGAGCTGAGAAGTTCTGCACTGAAAGGGCTCACCCCGAATCAGGGAGCAACCACCTCATCCCAACACCAGAATCAAAGGAAAAACCCGTTAATATTTATTTATTCTCTTCCTGGAAGACCTGTTTTTGAGGTCACGTGGAGGTGGGAATGTCAGTGATCCCTTTTTCCCTGAAAAAATTGGGATCTCACCAATCCAGGTATCAAAAATCCCCTCCTCACCCCAAATTTTCCCCTTTCCCCCCAGCAGGAGTGTTCATGTATAATATGAGTTTAAAAACACACAAAAAAAATCAAAAAATGGTGCTATTCTTGTAAAACAAGTCTGTATTTTTTAACATCTGTTGGTATAAAATGAAAAAAAATCTAAAAAAAAAAAAACTTTTGGTCGAAAGTAAAAAGTTGAGTTGAGTCTCTTCTTTGGGTGTGTTTGCAGTAATTCAAATATTTCCTCCCCATTTCAACCACTATGAAGTTCTTCAGGTTGGGAAAAAATCCCATTGAAATCCTCATTTTGGGTTAAACCTGCACATTTTTTGGGTTGGGATACTTCAAACTAAGGGGAAAGATTAGGGGGAAAATCCCCCCCAAAAGCCAAAAAAAAAAATTTAAAAAGGGAAAAATTTGAAAGTGAAAAATTTTGAAGTAGAAACACTTGGAAAAGCAGAGGTTTGATTGTGGAATTCTTGTCCCATAATGAGGATTGGGACAATCCTTGTGTCACCTGGGCCAGGGGTGGCTGTCCCCTCCTCCCCATGAATTTTATCCTGTTTTTTACCCACAAAAAACCCTCTTTTTGGGGCTGTTTTGCAGCACTGGAAGTACGAGACTCCCCTCTTGCTGTGCCACAAAATATCCCACATGGAAATTCCTCTCCTCACCAGGCTGTTCATTACAGGCAAAAAGCTCAGAAATGGGATTTTTTTAATGATCTTGACAAAAATCAGCCCAGTGACCCCGAAGAGCCCCAAACCTGCTCAGATCTCTCCTGCAAGAGGCCCCAGGCAGCTCCTGGGTGAGGAATTCCTGAGTTTCACCCCAATCCTTTTGGGTCAAAACTCCTCTTTTTGCCTCTGTGGATGGCAAAACTTTGCTTGGAGAAATTATAACTGGAAAAGATTTTTTAAAACAGCTTTAAAAAAAAGCCATTTTGGGGCAGAATTTGAGTTTTAAACCCTCCCAGCTTCAGGTACAGCAGCTGCCAGTTGTGGCCAAGCACCAAAACATTGGCAGGGGAAATTCATTAAGGAGGATTGGGGGATTAAAGAGGATTTTCCACCCAAAAGTGCCTTTTGAGACGCTCTCTAATGATGGGGGCTCTGCACCAAGAGTTTGGGGTCAAATCTTTCCCCTCCTGGTGCAGCCAAGCAGCAAATTCGGGGGTCCCTCCTGGGGGCAGCCCCCCCAAAACACCCTCCAGGATCCTTCGAAAAGTGGGATGGGGCTGGGGGTAAAGAGGGGGAAAGGAATGTGGGGAGACCCCTGGAAAATCAGGATTAAACCCAGCCAGGAGGGGAAGAAAACTGAGAAAAATCAAAGTTTGAGATTTCTTCCTTTTCCTTAAAAAAAAAAAAAATATGAAATCTCAGTGGGAATTGGTCACCAGAGAAGGAGGTTGGGATTGGGATTCTGGGCACTGGTCCCAGCTGGGAATGGGCACCTGGCTGAGTTTTTTCCCCCTCATTTTCCCCCAAAAATTCCTGGGAAGGGCTGGGGAAAATGGGATTTTTCAGCCTGGAGGAGGAAAGGCTCCAGGGTGACCTTTCAGGAGAGCTGGGGACAGATTTGGGATAAAGGACAGAGGGAAGGACATGGGGAGTGGCTTCCCACTGGGATCTGGAGGTTTGGGTGGGATTTTGGGAAGGAATTCCTCCCTGTAAGGGTAGGGAGCCCTGGGATGGAATTCCCAGAGGATTCCCCATCCCTGGGGCTGAGTTTTAGCATCCTCCCCAACCCATTCTGGGATTCTGTGGAAATCCATCAGCAAAACAGGGATTTTTTTTGACAAAAAACACCACAGGAGCAACGGATTTAGGACAAAACCAGAGCTTTTCTTAAAAAAAAAAAATAAAGGACAGCACATAGAAAGATCCAAATCAGGTTTAATGAAGAATTCAGCCCTACACACGCTGCAGGGGCAGGAATCTCCTGCTGGAAACGGGAGCAAAGTGTCGATTTTGTGCCACTGCCACCCAAAAATCCAGTAATTTTTCCACTGAGGAAGAATCCCCTCACATGTAGCTGTGTCTGGCTCCCGAATCCCACGGGAAAGGAGGGCTGAAATTCCAGAAAAAAACTCCCAAAAAGGGGCAAAATGCCAAAGGGCTGCGGGGGCCGAGCTGGCAGCTGGATTTTGCTCGGGATAGCGCCTGGCAGGAATGTCCAGCTCCTGGCAGGGAGGCCTTGGAATCCCAGCCTCCCACAGAACCCCCTCCAATCCCTGCTGCTGTGGGAAGTGGAGCACAAAAAGCAGCAAATTCCCGGATTTCAAACCCCAGGGAAGAGCCTCTGGATGCCAAAGGGGTCAGAGCCGCAGGGGAAAAATGAGGGAGAAGTTTATTCCAAAGGTTTGGGTTCCTTTGCCTCCTTCCAGGTGTAACAGAGGCTCATTCTGGGTGGGAACTGTCCCTTTTTTGGGGTCCTGAGGTGCTGCCACCTTTGAGCAGGAAAATAAACTCATTTCCACTGAGAAAAAAAAAAAAATTCATCTACTCTCAAAAACCAAATCCATTTACCCCAAAACACCCTGACGGTGCCAAGCTTCCAGAACAGGTGCAAACCACCGAAAATCTCTGGCACTTCAGCCCTTAATTCAGCAGGGAAAGTTCCGGATTCCTCGGGAAAGGAAGGGAAGGAGCACCCCCGGCGGGCCCGTCCCCGCAGAGCCACTCACGGTCCCCGTGCCGCCGCTGCCCTCAGGGTGGGCCCCGCGCCGGGGCCGAGGAGTTGGAGCTGCAGTCCAGGTAGTGGAAGGTCTCCAGGGCGCTCTGGGCGCTGTGGCCGATGTAGGAGAGCTTCACCGAGGTCCTGGCAGGGCAAAGGCACACGCCAGCAGGTTGGTATTCATCACACCACTCCTCTTTTCCTCAAAAAAAAACCACCCAGATTCCTGCGGGTTTTGGTGGAAAGGTGGGAACTGCAGCCTCTGCAGGGAGCTGTGTGCTACACTCCATATTTACCCCCTTGGGCCGGATTAAAACCTGACCCCGAGGTGGATTTGGGGGGAATTTGGATTTTTCCAAGCAGGATTTTCTCCTTGGAGCCAAAATCCGTGGCTGGAATTCCCTTGGGATCCAGGAACCACAGAACACAATCTTTAAGGTGGGAAGAGAGCTCCAAGAACCCAGAGCAGGAGGGGCACCCACCTCATGAGGATCACGATGTTGTGGACCTTCACCTTGGGCAAAGTGCAGAAAAAACTGCAAAAGATCAAGGAGATTGGTCAGCAAGTGAGAAACTTGAGGAATTTTGGGTTTTTTTGGCAGCTCCTGCTGGTATTTTTCACTTTGGTGCTAACAAAATCATCTCGCAGCACCTTGAGAATATTCCTGGCAAAGGAATTGAGCAGGAAAAGTGAGTGATTTCCAGATTAATTTCCCAAATTTCAATCAAAGCAGCTCCACCCCTCTCCCTCCCCAGGTATCTCCAAGGAGCAGTAAATCCTTACTACACATAGGACAGGGATCCACCCAGCTCTGCCTTCACGGTGAAATTCACCTGCAACAGAGCGGAAAAATCAGATTTCAGTGCAGCTCCATCACCCTTCAACCCCATTCCTGGGGGCATGGACAGAGCAAAAGCAGCTGTGGCCCCGGGGCACCGAAATCACGAGGATCAGCTCACAGAAGTCCCAGTCAGTACCAGTTTGTCCCGCAGGGGCTGGATGCTGGAGACATTGGTGAGCTGCTGGCTGCCCACCACGGTGTTCATGTACTGCACCTGGCTGCTCAGGCTGCTCACTGACACCGAGTAGAAGTTGGAATTCCTGATCCTCAGGGTGGCCTGAAGGGGACAAAAACAACCCTGAGCTCGCTGGCTGGTTCCCCTGGTGATTTGTTTTCCCGAATCCATGGAAACTTTACCGTGATGGCCAGGAGGACAGCGGAGTTTTTCCTGTCAAACCACACCTGGACCACTTTGATGCCGTCATCGTTCACCAGCACAGAGTGGGGGAACAGGAAGAAAACCCCCAGGCCAGACAGCAGCAGGCACAGCAGCACTGAGAGCAGCACATAGAGTTTCCTGGGGAAAACCAAAAAAATTAAATTCTTCACCTCTTCTGCAAGATTCAGATCCTAAAAAACCCCACCCCGTTTGGGTTCCTTGGAAGAGGCACCCAAGAGCTGCTGTCACATTTTTAATGTCAAAATGGCTCAAAATCCTCCCTTTGCACACTTGGGGCTGGCTATCGAGCAACCAAAGCAGCATTTTTGGTCTTTTTGCAGTTGCTCCCAAGCTCCAGTGAGGGGATGGAAGGTGGGAGTGGGATTGTGGTGCCCATGGTAGAAATATTTAAAATCACACTTTAAATCCTAATTTTTTGGGTGAAAACAACCCCTAAAGCAATAACAGAACTCCTCCCTTACGTTCTCTGAGGACGAAGCCGTTGGTCACTGTAGGGGATCAGAGCCACCAACTCGTTCACCTGCTCTGGGAAGCAAAATGGGAATAACACATTAAAAAGTGACTTTTTTTTGCCGTTTAGAGCTGGGTTTTAGGGTGCTCACGTCCCACAGGAGCAGCCACCTGTGGGGATGCAGCCGGTGCCTTGGCAGGTGGGACAGGTGACGCTGTCCTGGCCCGTGAATTCCATGTAGGGGATCTTGGCCACGTCCTGCACGGGCTCCTGGCTGACCAACTCATCCTCATCCTCCTCATCCTCGCTCTTCCTGCGGCTCGGGGCGGCGCTGAAGGCAGGCAGGGAACGCACGGAGCGCATGGCGGCGGCCGATGGGGACAGCTGCGTCACCGGGGAGAGGCCGCAGCAGCAGCTCTGGGCTCTTAGAGGGGGTTTAAGGCATTTCTAAGCTACAGTGCCCCGCTCATGGGTCCCAAAGCCACCACAGTGTCCCCGCCTACAAGGGGCTTCCTTGGAGAAAGGGACACCTTGATGGGCTCCATTTCCAGCCGCCCAAAACCCAGCGCACCCCAGGGCTCCCCCTCCTCCACCGAGAGCAGCGTCTCCTCAGGCAGCCCCCACCCCAAGACACAGCCCCTGGCTCGTCCGCGTCCCCTCAGGAACACCCCAGAGCCCCCGAGACCCCACGAGAGGAACAGGCCCCGCCATGGTCCCCACCTCAGAGACTCCCTCATGCTCAAAGTCCCCCTCCCTCAAGAACTGCCCTTTGAAGACCCCCTCTCTCAGAGACGCCCTCCCTCAGGAACTTCCCCTTCACAGACCCCCACCCTGAGAGACGGAGCCCCCCCCTCAGAGATCCCCCCTGTCCAGACGCGCCCCCTCACAGACCCCTTCCCTCAGCGCTCTCCGCCAGGGGGCGCCCCTCTCCCGCCGCGGCCGCAGCCCCGCCCCCCTTCCCGCGCGCAGCCGCCGTCGCTATGGCAACTGGGTTCTCCCTGACCCCGCCCATTCCTCATAATACGGGTGGGCGGGGTTACTCAAACCACGCCCATCTGATGGGGACTACGTCACAAGGGAGGGCGGGGTTCAGCGAGCCACGCCCCGTCGTGACACCCAAAGAGCACGCGCCAATTATCGGGTGGGGCAGTGGCCACACCCTTCATTTGCATGCGATAGGCGTGGTCAGAATCGCGCACGCGCAGAAGCAACGCATTGTTCCGGTTGGGCGTGGCAGGGCGTGGCAGGGCGTGGCGTGACGTAAATCGCGCGTGCGCGCAGCGGGGGCGTCCGGTCCGGAGCGCGCATGCGCGGGGATGAATGCGGGTGTGTCTGGGACCAGAACGGAGCTCACGAGCCCCAGTCCGGGGTCCCTGTCCCAGTATGAGCCCCGTCACACCAGTACAGACTCGAGCCGCACCAGTGGGACAGCCCTGCTCCCTGCACGGAGCGGCCCCACACCGGTACGGAGCGGTCCCGAGCGGTCCGGGCCCCCTGTCCCGGTACGGATCGGTTCTGAGCGGTCCGGGCCCGCCTGTCCCGGTACGGAGCCGTCCCGAGCAGTCAGACCCCTCTGTCCCGGTACAGAGCGGTCCGGCCCGCCTGTCCCGGTACGGATCGGTCCCGAGCGGTCCGAGCCCCCCTGTCCCGGTACGGAGCGGTCCCGAGCGGTCCGGGCCCGCCTGTCCCGGTACGGAGCGGTCCGGGCCCCCTGTCCCGGTACGGAGCGGTCCGGCCCGCCTGTCCCGGTGCGGATCGGTCCCGAGCAGTCAGACCCTTCTGTCCCGGTACGGAGCGGTCCGAGCACGCTTTCCCGGTAGGGAGCCGTCCCGAGCGGTCTGACCCCCCTGTCCCGAGCGGTCCGAACCCCCTGTCCCGGTCCAGCCCAGCACCACCTCCAGCACCCCTCAGCTTCTGGGGGAAATGCCCCCACGCCGTTCCCTCCCACCTCCCCCCAGCCCCGACAGCTCCCGGGTCCGTTTGCCTTCAATAAATTCCCTCCCGTGGGACTTTTCCCCACCACACGAGAGAGAAAACCGATGGAAAACGAAATCCCTCCCTCTCCCAGTCACCCAAACTATCGAAATAAAATTCAAGGCAAAGTTAAAATATTTTGCGAGCTCCAGAGGCAGCGCCTGCCCGGCCGCGGAAGACTTATCCCATGGAAATTTTATGGATCATTTCTCCTCTCCTTCCCAGGAGCGAAATTTCAGGCGGTGGGAGAATTCGCGTCTCTCCTTCCTTCCTGCCGCCCTCCCGGGGGCTGTGGCATAAAGGGCTGGAAAAGGAGAAGGGAGAGGGATTGGGAAAGGAGAAATCCCTGCCAGCCCCTCGGGATGCGCTGCGGGATGAGCTCGACCCCGCAGAGAATTCCCAGAGCAGGGAAAGAACCCAAAATTCCCCCCGCAGCCTCCCCTCGGCTCCTGTCGCGTCCTGGGTTGGATCCCGGGATTTTTACCGAGTGTTTTCTGCCCCCAAACCCAGCGGGAACAGACGGAAGGGGGGAAAGGCCCTTTTCCAGCCAGCAGGCGGGATTGTGGAAGCGCTTCCCGGGAAATCTCCGCTCTCCCGGGATGGGCCGAGTCCGGACCCATCCTCCAGGATGAGGGAGCGCTGCTCCAAGGACAGGGAAATGTCGGATTGGGGCTTTCCCCGCTTTTCCGTGCGTCCCTCGGGGATTTCTGAGCCCTGGAATGGGATCGTGGAACCGCAGGATTTTTGGGGAGGGACCTTGGAGCTCATCCTGCCCCGTTTGTCCCTCCCAGGTGGCTCCAAGCCCCGTGCAGGGACAATTCCGGCGGTGGCAATGACGATCCTTAAGGTCTCTTCCAAGCCCAAACCATTCCATGAAGATCTGGGGATCACAGTTTCTGCCACTCCGCATCCCCGGGCCATCCTCCTCCTCCTCCTCCTCCTCTCCCAGCCCCGCCGACCCCTTTTTCCAGGCTGGAGCAGCACAGAAACCGCTCACAGCGCCTGGAATTTCCAGGCAGGAATGAAATTCCGTGCAGGAATGAAACCGTCCGGAATCCTGCCCGTGCCGGCTGTCCCGGGGATGCGGAGCAGAGCCGGGATTTGGCCCCAAACCCCTCGTGCCGGGTGGGTTGAGGGCAGGAAAGCAGCAGGGAATCAGGAGAGAGGGAGGGAATTCAAACCCTCTTCGGCCACAAAGTTTCCCCAGAGCTGGGGGGGCACAAAGTCCCGGTGGGAAAAAGGCAAAAATTTGTATGGAAAATGCGTCCCGCCGGTCTGGTGCGTGGCCGTGTCAGTGGGGAAAAGCCTTGGGAGATTTTGGGACATTTTTTTGGCATGGAAAGAGCTGCGATCCCAAAAGCACCAGGATGGGGATGAGCAGCTTCCACCACTCCCACCCTCCCGAAATCCTCCCGCGCCACAAAATTGCTTCTGATGAGCTCTCATTTCTTCCCAGACGTTGTTTTCCCCTCCTCGGCCTCATTAAATCAATTTAAAGGCGATTTCGAAGCGTTTTCCCCACGCAAACCGTGGTGGCTGAACCCGGTGCCCGCGGCTGCGGGGGCTCTGCTGTGCCGGGGGCTCGTTTGCTCCCGGATTTTGGGTTTAGGGGACACCCGATAAACCCTGGGAGCAGCAGCAGGGCTTCTCTGGGAGCTCCTCTCGCTGCTTTATTCGGTGCTGCAGGTGGCTGCAAGCCGGGTGGGGATTTGAGGATGGGAAGGGGAAAATTGCCGAATATCCCGATTTTTTAGACTGGGGGTGCAGCGTGCGCAGGCAATGGAACGCCTTTGGGTTGGGCTGAGCTGACTCTGTCCAAAATCCCACATTCCAAGTCACCGATAAGAGAGATTTTGGATGGTCCAAAAATCAAGGTCGGTTCTTGCTCTGTCCCAAATACTCTCCGATTCTTCAGGAGCAGCCAAACCCAGGCGGGTCCCCAGGCTCGGGTCACCCTCGGGGTCTCTGTGGGGACAGCGGGAGCAGCTGGAGCCTGCAAAGAGCCCGGAGCGCTGGGGGTGGCACTCTGCTACCGGTGCCGTTTGTTCTGTCCCGGTACAGCACCGGGCACTCACCGGGAGCTGGATCGGCTGCCCGAGCTCACCGGGAGGGGTGCCAGCCCCCCAAGGGTCCCGTGCCCAGCTGGGCGCTCCCGGTCGGGGAGAGGGGTCGGGTGGGCAGCGGGGTCCGGAACCCTCCGGGGAAGCCCCCCGCTACGGGGGACCACGTGCATTTCCGCCACACCCCCTTCGTCGTGACCGCGCCCGCCTCTGGCCTTATATGGCTCGTGTGGGCGGGGCCAAGGCGGTGCCGCGCAGGCAGGGGCGGGGCGGGGAGCGGAGGGGGCGGGGCCGGAGGCGCCCGTTCCCGTCAAAAGGCGGCAGCGGGCGGGGCGGGGGCGGCAGCGGGGCTGGGACCCAGGTACCGGGGCCGGGGACACCGGGGCCAGGGCTCAGGTACCGGGCAGGGGAGCACCAGAGCAAGGGCCATGGCCAGGGTTCCGGTACCGGGCACGGGGACACCGGGGCCGGGGACACCGGGGCCAGGGCTCAGGTACCGGGCAGGGAACACTGAGACCGGGGCTCAGGTACTGGGCAGGGGACACCGGGGCTCAGGTACCGGGCAGGGGTTCAGCGGGGTCCAGGTACCGGGCAGGGGTTCAGCGGGGTCCAGGTACCGGGCAGGGGAACACCGGGGCTCAGGTCCCGGGCATGGGACAGCGGGGCCCGGCCAAGCGCAGCCCTTCCCAGCGCCCGCCGCCCCTGCCGTGACTCCGGCGCTCCCCGGGACCCGGGGATGGCCGCTGGGGGTGCGGGGGCGGTGGGGGGCCCCGGCGGTGACCGGGTGCTCCCCGGCTGCCGGGCTGTCCCCGCCGGCAGCAGCGGCATGGGCCGGGCGTTGAGTCCCCGGTGCTTCCTGGTTTCCCCTCGCGCTGTTCCCGGGCTGCTTTGGGGGTCCCGTGTGAGTCTGACCCCCCCGCTGCCCTGGGAGGGGTCGGGGGTCCGCCGTGGGACCCCCTGACTCCCCGCGGCCCCCGAAGCTGGGGGCTCTCGGGGCTTTCCCTGCCGAAATTCGGATCCCCCTTAGGGCTCCTGGTTTTAGGGGGCTCAGGGACTGTCCGGCGTCAGCCCCAGAAATCCGGGAGTTTTGGGGTGTTCCGGGGTGTCCCCACACCCCGGAAAGGCACCGCTGTCCTCCTCCCCTCTGGGGCTCCCCCTTTTTGGGGGCCTTCGAATTCGGGAAATTCCTGGGCGCCGTGGGGGTGTTAATGTGAATTCAGGGTTTCCTGTAAGGTGATTTTAGCGTTTCCTGTAAGGTTAATTTTGGGGTTTCTGCCTGCTCTCATGATTAAGCGCCCATTTAAACCCACGTTCAAGGTCCCAGTGCGGGTTTTTTGGGGGACTGAGCCCCCCGGCACGGCATTAATCACCTTACTTCTTAATTCCCCAGTGCCTGCCCATATTTCGGAGGATCCCGAGCCGTGCCAGCCGCAGGAAAATCAAGGTACGGGGCGATTTTTAAGCGCCAGGAATTGAGGGATTCTCCCCCGGGCATCCCAGAAGAGTTTTT